TCATGGCAGATAGGGAATTAAGGAACTGGCCACCAGCTGTCATCTCTTTCCCCATGTCCCTACAGAATGGTCTGATGAAGCCTTGTTTTCTCCTCTTACCACAGCCCACACTTGCCTTTTGCATTCCACTGATGGTCAAAGAGACAGTTTATCTGGAGGCATAAGCCTGCAGTCTCTGTATTGGCTCTCTACACTACCTCCTGCCTACCGAAAAAGAAATCTGTAGTCCACTTTCTGGTTCTAAAAGACTTGGATAGTGAGTCTGATTCTCTTCTTTCAATCTGATTTAAACACCCATATAGACAGAGATGCATAGCCCTGCAGTAGGCCAATGGGATACATTATTAAACAATAACTATGGGTTCTCTTCTTTCAATCTGCATATACTCTAGTAGAAAAAAAATATAAAAGCAGCATAGCAGCACAGCCTAGCAGAAATAGACCACCATCACAAGTGGGAAAGTCACTCCAAATAAAAAACTAGGAAATAGGGGTCAAGAGGAAACAAATAACCTACTTAGGGTCGCCTAGCTAGTTCAAAGCATAAGGTCATCTAATCCAACTCCATTATCTTGTTAATTTTAAAGATGAAGAAAAAGCTTAGGCCCAGAGTGAGGAAATGACTTATCTAAGGTCTCATATAGTATGTTAGAAAGCAGCCAAAACTTGAATATAAGCCTTCTGTGTTAGTTAAGTTATAGATTTGGCTGTTGTTTTAGATACTTCAAATAACAATGATTGAACTTATTGTGATGATCATTTCACAGGGTATACAAATATCAAATCATTATGTTATACACCTTAAACTAATGTTATATGTCAATTATATCTCAATAAACAATTAACAACAATATTAATATAACAAAGTAAATAGAATAATAATTTCTTAAATATGCTTAAATATATGAAGACCCATACAATTAAAAAAATAATAATAACATGACTTAAACATGATAATACATAACCACCCTAGTCAATGATTCGGTATCCCCGTTGCTCTGCTATCCCTAAAGTGTTGTTCTCATCCATATGGTCTGAGATAGCTCTCCACCACCAAGTGGAGAAAGAGAACTCATGCTCTACCATTTAAGAACGTGACAGAGAATTCGCACACACACCAGAACTTAGTCACATGGTCACCTTAGCTGCTAAGAAGGATAGGAAGTATAGTCTGTAAATAAGCAGCCATAATCTCAGTTATAAAATCTGTTACTATGGATGAAAGGGAAAAGAAATAAGGCAAAAACAAGCAGTGTCTGTCAAACATACTGTTGCACAAGTATAGTTCAGAGACAAAGCCTGAAGTTTATGCTTTTGTCTTTTGCTGTAGTACTTTTGATTAACACTTATATTAGCTTCGGACCTGGACAAGGTTGTGGTCATATCCCTAGCCTCAGTGTCTCATGGCAAGGTAGCAAATAACAGATGATACTGTGTTTAGTTGTCTATGCTCATTAGGTGACCCTATAGACCTGCAATCTTCAGAAAAAGAAGTTAGCAGGGCTGGAGATCATAGGTGCTCTCCTCAATAGCTACAGCCTCTACTGCTAACTGGTCCCACACCCATATTTGAAGGAGATAAAGTGATTGCAAATTTAGCAGCTCAGTCCAGAAATGTCTCTGTCTATCCTTTTGACTGCCCTGACTGTCATAGGAACTGTCAAACCATAGGTTCTGAGTTTCTCCTGAATAGCTCTTGGTGTCTTGAGAGGCAAGACTGGGATATGTGGCCTTGCTGAGAGGGAGACTAGAGGGAGAGAGGAAGGGAGGGACAAGATTGGCTCCATTCCCGGCTAGGAAGCTATGGAAATTCCTGTTGAGGGATCTGTGAAGATGCTCTCCCAACATCCCTAACATCTGCTCTTGCTCTACCCAGACACTTAGGGTCCTCTGGGTAAACATCTTAACATAATATTCAGAACGTTTTTAAATCAGCTCATTTTGCATGGGCTTTTCCATAGCCCAACAGCCTCCCTAAGGGTAGATCACCCTTCAGAAGATCTCTATCAAAGGCCAGGACAATGTGAAACCATTGATTTGTACTAGCAGTAATTAGAATGTGACAGGATGGAAAGGAACATCTGCAAAGACATATTAGCCTTACTCCCAAATCAAAATGTTCCAAATTCTCTCACTTCCATAGTCTCTACATCTGTAGAATGGGTGTGATAATAGTACATAACCTTAGATGCCGTTCTCTCTAGTATATGTCCATTCTGGAAAAATAAAACTCTACCTATCTTGTATGATCCTGAAAAGGCAGAAACTGAAAATTAAATGGAGTTAATTTCTGACTATAAGGAAAAAATGTGATTTTAAACAATAACACTTTTATTTCAAGCTATATTACAAAGCTATGATAACAAAAAAACAGTATGGCAATGGCATAAAAACAGACACATTTATCAGTGAAAGAGAAAAGAGAACCCAGAAATAAACCCACACATATATGATCAATTATGACAAAGGAGTCAAGAATATACATTGAGAAAGGACAATCTTGTCCATATATGGTATCGGGAAAACTGGACAACCACATGCAAAAGACTGAAACTGAACAATTATCTTATACCACACACAAAAATTACCTCAAAATGAATTAAAAACTTGAATGTAAAACCTGAAACCATAAAACTCCTAGAAGAAAACATAGGAGGTAAGCTCCTTGATATCTGTCTAGTCAAAGATTTTGTGGACCTGACTCCAAAGGCAAGGGAAACAAAAGTAAAAATAAACAAATGAGACAACACAAGACAAACAAAAGAAAAACTTCTGCACAGTGAAGCACAGTGAAGGAAACAATCAACAAAGTGAAGAAGCAATCTATTGAATGTGTGGAGATATTTGCAAACTATATATTTGATAGAGAGTTACTATCAAAAATATATAGAAACTCTTATAACTCAATAACAACAACAAAACAATCTGATTTAAAAACAAGAAAAGGACTTGAATAGATATTTTTTAAAGAAGACATGCAGATGGCTAACAGGCACATGAAAAGATGTTCAGCATCACCAATTATCAGGGGAATGCAAATCAAAAACACAATGAACTACCATTTCACATCTGTCAGAATGGCTCTTATCATAAAGACAAGAAATAAAAATGTTGGTGAGGATGTGGAGAAAATGGAGCTCTTGTGTACTGTTGGTGGAAATGTAAATTGGACACACA